CCTGATGAAACTATTTTCGGAAATACAAATGTACATGTAACTGTTACATGTACATGTATGTCAGAAGTGTACCAAACCATGGTATTATTGCTTTATACTGTGACAGTCATACGTCTTTTTCTTATACACACATGTACAAGTGCATGTGAATTTTATCAGACAGCAAGCCACAGCTTTGTCAAAAAACAGTTACTCAAGTAAACTGATATGATTTTAGGCCACACCAATTTAATTTGTTGGTTCTCGGATTCGCCTCTTCGTTTTTTTCTGATTTGCAAAAAAAAAAATTGATTCTGGTCCTGAATCAACTGAAAAATGCTGATGTTTTGCCCCCAACAGTTGAGGAAAGTCCTTTTCTTCCTAGTTGTTACAGTTTTCCCATCTATCATTGCAGTGGTTTGATAAAAAGTTCAAAATTCAATGTTTAAATTTTAACCCAGCCTTTTGTGTTGACTTCATGGCTCATTCCGTAGCATTTAAGCCTATAATAAGATGCCTAGACCTGTTTTTATTTTTATTTTTTTTTCGCCCTGTCGCTTCATATTTTTTCTGGAAAAATCCGAGAACCAACAAATTAAATCGGTGTGGCCTTACATTGAAAGTTCTTGTCACCCAGGAAAGTAAAGCATTTCATTTGTTATTTCTGTAGATCCTGTATGTAAATGTTTAAACAATTGCAAGTATGAATTTAGAATTATGTCAGTAATTTTACATGAGAAAAAAAGTTTTTATAGTCACAGTATAGTTCTTGACATACCAACTATTTAGTTTAGTGTATTGTTTAGAATGTTCTGATATGTTTTTGCTTTGATATCACTGTTGCAAAAAAATATTGTTTGCCATGTTTGAAATAAAATGATTAACACCACAATGTGTATTGTTGTGATTCTGTTTATAATAATATGATTATTGCTAGTAAGGCCATAGCAAGTAAATTTTATGGATGACACCATGTAGACCACAGGAAGAATAGCCTCTTATGAGGCTAATTGTGGATCTGAATAAAACTGAAAAACTGAAACTGACACCCTCCGCAGATTCCAAATCTAATGTGAGCGGGCGAAAACAAAACAAGGCAGGCCAAAAAAAACAAGTTTTCTACATTTTAAAATTTTGACCTTAATCATTGTACAAATGGTTTTGATTCAGTGGGAACATCACATATACAAAGCCACCATCACATATCACTGCATCAAAGTAAGATGCTCTCCTCTCTTCATATT